ATGTCTCTAGATTAATTTAGATCTTTTCATTCTGCAATTGTAGCAATACCAATATTTAGACACCATTTTTAAAGAAGGATGCCAATTAAAGAAGAATTTAAACCTATTTTACTGTTGCTGAAGTTGCCGTTTATTGGTCCGTGTTAGTGAACATTCTGACATGACATGCATCACTGGTCGCTTTGAGTGTAGACAAGTGTAGGACTTTGTGATAGAGCAGCTAAGTTGTCCAGAGGGAAAGGGATTTCCTTTGTTCGCTTTTGCCAAATCCAAATGTATGATACAGCATACTGTTTAAAAATGCAAATTAACTGCTATAAGTTTCTCAGCAAAATCAATGTATATTATTTTCATTACATCTCCTATACTATATCAGTTTAAACCCTGCAGCCCTGAGTGTCAGAACAGAGATGGATGGAGAGAGAGGAAGAGATTTAGAGCAACGGAAAGAGAGAGAGGCATCTCTCTTCCCCAGAATTTATTCCGCAATTTATTTTTGTCACAGCTTTGCAAAATAAATCGTAATTCTTCAAGCGACTGGCAATTTTTTTCCCCCTGGAAGCTTTGATGGGTTGTTAAGGTGGGCTTGACTGAGGCAATAATTGCCTGTTTGTAGTGGCACAGTAGCATGGCACTCTGAAATGGGAGTGAATTCTGGCCTCACTGCTCCTCTCTAACCACACAAACCAAGCTTTACCACAACACAAAGGTTTACCCGGACATCTCCTACAGGACATTTTGAACAATCTTCTAGGTGCAAAAGACAGAATGTGACACAAAATACTGCTGTACAAAGGCAAAATGCAGAAATTACACATTGAGTTGTGACAAAGAAGGGTCTCTTACACCAGTGGATTTCTAGAAAGGGTCTGGGGGCCCCAAGGGGTTGTGGTGAGGGGATGTGTGAAGCAAAAAAAAAGAGATTAAAAATTTTAACAAGTTGGCCGTAGGTCCTTGAAAATTCATAAAATGTCTTAAATAAAGTTTTCCAAATAAAAGGCCATAAAAAGTAATACATTTTCTTAAATTCATATTCGATGGGTCTTAAAGGTTTAGTTCACCCAAAAATGAAAATTCTGAATAATTCTGTCATTACTTACTCACCCTCATGTCGTTGCAAACCCGTAAGACGTTCTTTCATCTTAGGAATACAAATTAAGATATTTTTAATTAAATCTGAGAGCTTTCTGACCCTCCATGGACAGCAATGCAACTGGAATGTTCCCAGGCCCAGAAAGTTAGTAAGGACATCATTAAAATAGTCTGCAATTTTACGAAGCTACGAGAATACATTTTGTGCGCAAAGAATACAAGAATAATGACTTTATTCAACAATTATTCTCCTCTGCGTTACCGTCCAACGCCATTCATGAGAGTACCATTACACATGTATATAATAAATTATTACATTTCATATAAGGTGGTATTAAATAGGTCTTACCTTGTTTTTATCTGTAGACACCCTGTTTAAGATTTATTTAAGAGCATTGGCATCACAAAAAGCATCATTTGATTTTGGCATCACAAAAAGTTTGAAAACCCATTTTTTAGAATATGATCTGTCCTGACTCCTGACAAATGGGTTTAGTATAGCTATGCCAACATTTTGAAAGAAAAAAGAAGGGGAAAAAACAGTGTGAAAATGTATATAAAGGTCCTTTAAACGCCCCTTTTTTTGGCATGGTTTAGTACAGTAAAGACTTTTACATTGTTACAAAAAAAATCTGTTATAAATAAATGCTGTTCTTTTGAACTTATTCATTGCTCAAAGAATCCTGGAAAATGCATCACAGTTTCAACAAAAATGTTAGGCCACACAACTTTTCAACATTGATAATAATAAGGAATTTGTTTTTCTAAAATAATTTTAAAAACCTTACTGACCCCAAACTTTTGATCATTCATGAAGTATGTGTAGTAATATTTTAATATGAAGTGCATACTAAGAACATACTATATTTGCTTTTCACATACTACAAAGTACAGAAGTAGGCATGTTCAGCCATTTCAGGTCTTGGAACATCTACTAATAAGCTGTAATATAAATTGAGATGTGCTCAATATGGGAGACATTCTCCAGAATTGAGGACCACTGACCATAGAGTCTAATTAGATGCACAACCTTTGATGAGCAGCTATGTTTAACTTTGTGCATTTATTTTTAGTTGACATTTATTGTTTGCATTTAGCCTAATTTTTTCCCCCTTGTGCTTTGTTAGAACAGATGTGACCCACCAGTTAAGAACCATTGAGTCAAGGAATAATTCCTGATGCCAAAGCATGTTTGCCCTTGGGGGTCTTTCAAAAGGAGAATACTTCTAATACTGGTAGGTAGTGAGAAATAAAATATATCAATAGCAATTCAAATTTGTTGAAAATGTAAAACTCAGCATGAAACAGTTCATTTCTGTAGCGAATCAGCTCAAAGGGGAAATAGGAATAATTAATCATAACTAGTTATAATTAATTATAAATATTTAGATCCACTCTAAGTATTTACTTGACCTCTCAGGGTCAACTGTCTGTCAATTCTAAGAACGTTAATGTCCTTGTTAAGGGAAATAACTTTCTTACTGTACAATAATACACAAAGCATGTAGCAAAAATCTGCATGATTAAGGACTGCGGTTATGAGCAAACAATGAACAACCTCAAGTGTGATACAAGTAAGACTTTATTAACTACATAAACACTTAAACTAGTCTAACATACACATACACCCACACACACACACACGCATACAGTTGGTATAGGAAAAGGATTTAAAGCTTAGGCAGTAAAAAGAAGAGAAATAAAAATATGAAGCTATGGTATCATTGGATATACAGCAGATCTACAGCCTGAAGGAATTATCAGTTTCTTAGTTCAAACAAACCTCTGTAAAAAGGTGCAAATTATACTTAATTGTAACGAATCAGCTCATGGGAAATATGAATAATTAACCATAACTAGTTATAATTAATTATGAATATTTTTGATCCGCTGTAGATATTTAGCTGACCTCTCAGGGTCAACTGTCTTGTCAATTCCAAGAACGTTAATTTCCTGGTTAAGGGAAATAACTTTCTTACTGTACAATTCTACAAAAGCTTGTAGCATAAATCTGCATGATTAAGTGACTCCAGTTATAAGCAAACAATGAACCACGTCAAGTGTGATACAAGTAAGGTTTTATTAACTACATAAACACTTAAACTAGTCTAACATACTACATAAACACATAAACTGGTCTAACATACACATACACACACACACATACAGTTGGTTTAGGAAAGGGTTAACGCTTAACTCAGTACAGAAAAGAGACATAAGGAATGAAATTTATGGAACCATTTGCATATTCAGCAGATCTACACCTGAGGGATACGTCAGATTCTTAGTTCAAACACACCTTTGTAAAAAGGTGTAACTGATACTTAATATATCAATTAATAAGACTAAGCCTCTCAAGATGGGCTTGTCCAATGAGAAAGGCTGAAATTCCAAGTGGGAGTTTGGAAATACTGGGGAGTTGTATGACCCTTTGTGTGAAAGCATGGTAATTTGTATATGGAACTTGAATCAAAATTACTAAAGATTCTCAGAACACTAATATATTGCCTATGTACCAACATATAATATACACTCTCGTTTAGATCATCAGAAGACAAATTCATATATGCTAAACATGGTATGATTACATATAGGTAAGATGACAGGAACGAGTGGTTCCATCATAAGCCTGCATAAAACAGTATACAATATAGAAGACAATATACAAGGACAGTAACAACATACACAATGACCTGAAGGATATGTGTGTTCATTCAAAGAAAGGTTTTCCTATGAATTAATTAGAGAAGAGTCCATTTTTACTGTGCATCGTGTCTTTCCTATGGAAAATGTAGTGAATTTCTCTACCCGCATTCCTTTGAGCAATAAAACCAGTTATATCAGCATTGGTTGCCATGGAATCAGAGGCCTATTCTGCCTGGTTGTTTGTCGATGTTGTTAGCCAGTAGGCTATCTGTGGTATCCGCGATATGGAAAAGCCGGGTTAGACTTTCACTGGTGAGAGTGCAGGTGGTTCCAGGGATTGCAAGGAATTGTTATGGAGATTTTGTAGTGTGCAGAGAGTTTCAGGCTGACCTAGTGATGATGGCAGGAGAGCAGCAGGTGGTTGCTAGCTCTCAGTTTTGCTTGAACATCACTAGAAATATGATGTTAATGGTGTCGCTTTGCTCTTGTGGCGGCACCGACTTGAGTGTGCCTGAGTTGTGTTAGTAGAGGTTTCGCTGTAGGGCATGTGGCCCCGTTGCTCCATCCAAAGTTGTCTGGCTGCTTCTGGGGTGTCGACTGATTTCAAGGGATGCTCCTCCCTTGCAGGGGTCTGATGCTGTGTTGCGTCAGGCAAGGAGTCAGAAGTTTGTCCTTCTCAGTACTCCTTAGTTGAGTTTTGTTCAAGGAGCTCTTTTGCAAGTGTCAGCAGCTCCTGTAACTCAGAAGTAGGCGTGTCCAGCTGTCCTTGTGTAGCCTCCGTTCGGCACCTGTGTGAAGGGTGTGGATGAGGATGTTGTGGTGGACTGCTATTGGACATTCCGTGGTGTTTGCAGGATGAGGATGCCCTTTTCCATGGCTTCTCCCAGTGGTTGGTCTGGGACTTGGGTCTGTTGCCATGGTAACGGCTCTGTCCTCTGCTGGCTAGTGGCTTTCTGTAGAAGGGCCTTGCATTGTGGCAATGCTGGGTGCCTTCTGGTGCCCGCTTTGGATTCTGAGTTGTGAAGTTCAGAATCAGCAGCGATCAGTCCCTGTTCAGACTCTGGGTCTGAGAATTCCTTTATGATGGCTTGTTTAAGCTGCTGGTGAGACCACTCTCAGGATCAGTTCATTTGTTGTCCTCAAGATCTCTGCAGTATTTAGGTTGCCAGATGTATTGTCTCTGGCAGCTCGTTGGGGTCTGTGGGGCCACACGGTGTGTGTGTCTGCAGTGGTCCTCTGGAAGGGTCCCTGCCCCATACCCCCTAGGTGGGCTCTCGCCCCCCTCCTCGCAGGTTCGGACTCTTGGCTGAGGGGGCCTGGACCTGCTTGCCAGGGGAGATTCTGTGTCGCATTTTCCCTGCCTGTTCACCTTGTGGTCTGCAAGCATATTTCAGTTCATTTGTGACATTGAATTCACCTTAGCTTCATTTGACTTTACCCGATTGGTGTTTGTAGTTGTCTCGGTGCTGAGCAAGGACTTGGATTTCAGCTTGGGCTGCTTGCAGGTGGCATTCACAGGCATTCTTTTGGTTCGCCTGAATTAAACTTTTTCCTTCAGCAGCTGCAGAGGTTTTCAGGGAGCTGACTTGTGAAGTGTCAAGCAGAAGGCTTTGGCTCCCTTTCCCCCCTTTCGTAGCTGTGCACAGGCGTGGAGGGCTTGCACTGCTGGCGAC